TATTTAAATACTTAAATATTAGAGTATTAAAAACAATGAAGTGCCCTGTAAAAGTGAGTGTGGTAGCTGAGCATTTTAAGTGCCTCTGTCTGGAACCAGCCAGATTTAACAGAAATCTGTTAGTAAAAGCTCTGCATTCATGGATTCCGGGGCTGTGTGGTTTTTGTTTTTGTTTTGCTGCTGTTGTTCTTTAATCAAGCAGAGCAAGAGAGAAGGAAGGTGAAATTTCTGTTTTTACTACCCATTCCTTAGGGAGCTTTTTAAAAATTCTTCTTAATCCTCAGATTTCACTGGACTATTCAGTACATACAAAACATGACCCTGGCAGGATTCCACCAGGCAAAGGAGAAGACAAAAGGATGGGAAGGAGTTTAAAAGAAAACAAAATACAAATTACTGTAAAAAGAAAAAATTTTTTTACAGTTATTACAATTATATAATCTCAACTATGTCGAATCTAGGCATAGAAAACTCTAGGAGGAAATATAGTAAACTGTTAACATTGTCTATCTCTGGATGTGTTTTTCAAATTTTTGTACTTTTAAAATCAGTTTGAGAAGAGTAGGTTACAAAGACTAGGGATGGTGTGATCTCAGTGTTTAAAACCTGTGCATGCTTGGGGGAGGATGGCAGTGGTGCGTGTGTGTAAAGAGGGTTTGGAAGGATGTGTGTATACCAACACGCCAGCGAGAGTTGGATAAGATGAGTGAGTTTTCCTTTCTTTTATTTTTTCCCCTTTTATTTCCTTTATGTGCCTCTATTTTCTGTAGTGAATTAGTACTACTTTTATAATGGGAGCAAAGCAAACTTTTAAACTGGAGTAGGATAAAAAAGGAAAGGATGTGAGAAAGAAATGTATTGAAAGGCTAAGAGAATAAAGGCAAAAAGGGGGAAGGGAAGAATAGATTTGATGACACAGAAATGGTCTCAGGTGAAACTTATTGGCACTCAAACAATAGATTTCCCACTGCCATTCTGGTCAAATATAATTTACACCTGGATGAACCATTGAGACCCTGGTTCAGTCAGAAGACCCTGATTTCTCAGGCAAAAAAATCTCTTTTCCACCACCTCAGGTGTCACACTTGAGCTTGTCATCCCCGGTAGCTGTCGTCACCTCTGAAATCAAATCTTGATCTCAAGCCTGTGTCTGAGTACCACTTCCAAATCCCACGCTCAGATATTCCTACTCCATCAGCTCTTTGCCCGAATACCTCCAATCCACACATTCCCACTTTTCCATTCTCTATCACCAAGCCTTCGACCCTGGTTCCTTCTTCATTAAACTTGGATTAATGGTTCCTCATTATTGTTACTCTCTTGCAAGGAAGCTGAACTTAACTCTTGTTTATTTTTCTCCTGGCTAAATCCCAGTTCATTTGCCTAAATCCCAAAGCTGGCTAAAATACAGCCATGTGCATGATCTATGCCTGCCTGTACCAAAGCAGCTGAAGACTGTTGAAAAGAGTAACACAACTGTTCTTGTTGATCTAACTTTACTTAAATGGCATACATATCAAATGGGATTGCAGCACCGCTAGGCAATCCTACTGCATTTCCTTGGTAACTTCACTTTCCCATTCTTTGAGATGACTGTCATCTCTTCTCTGCTGGAGTCACTCTTTCATTAATGCTCACTCACTTGTTGACTTCACCTTTTACTTCTTTAAGGAAACCCCTTAGTTTTCCTCCCACCACAAAATCCGCCACCTACCCCACCTCTTACCTTCATTCTGTCTTCCCTTCTGTTACGATGGCAGAAGCACTCATGCTCACCTCAAAAGACCGACTTCTCCACCTGGACTTGGCTTCTCATCGCCTTTCACCTTCACTCCGACACTCCAGTCCTCCCCCATAGCCTGTCCTCTCTCTTTATTAGCTCATTCCCATCAAACCAAGAACACCTGTTGTAGCTCCACCCTTCTCCCGCCTCCTAAAAAGAGGAGACCCTAAACTTTCCCTCACCAATTTTTGAGTTGACTATACCAGTGGTTCTCAAAGTTTTCATGTGTATTTGAATCACCTAGAGGGCTTGTTAAAATACACATTCTGGGTCCCACCGTAGTGTTTTGGATTCAGTAGGTCTGCAACCAGGGCTGAGAATTTACATTTCTAACAAGTTCCCAAGTGATGCTGATCTCTGATCCCAGAGGCACACTTGGAGAACTGTTGGTCTAGCTGACAGCCTCTGCCTTCCTCACCTCTCACTCACTCCTCAAGCTCTTCCAAGTGGTCTCTTTCTACTGAAAGCTCTTTTGGAAGACTATCAGTGACTTCCATGTGCCCAAATCCAGGTGTCCCCTCTCTGTCCTCGCTCTGCTTTGACTTCTCAGCACCTGAGGCAGATGAATACTCCTCCCTGCAACTTTCCCTCTTCTCTTGGTTCTCCTAATACCACCCTCTTCTTGTCTTCCTCCCACCTCAGTGGCCTCTTCCTCTCAGTGTCCTTTGCTGGCTCCTCCTCCTCAGCAAGATCCTTCAATGTACCCAGGTCTGGATCCTGGGCTCGCTTCTTTTCCATGACTAAGTATTTCTATACACTCATCTCCTAGGAAGTCTCATTTATTCTTAGTCAGTCTATATGCGGGAGATTCCCAAATTCATGTCCCCAGCTCTGGAATCTCTGAGCTGCAGGCGCATATCTAGGCTCTTTTACTTGACATTAAACAAGGATGTTTAATTTGCAGGTCTCATAGGCATTTCAAAGTTCACACATCTAAACCAAACTCTTGACTGCCTCCCAGCACAAACCTACCCCTTCCCCAGGATTCCTCACTTCAGAGATCATCCTTCACCAGTTACTGCATAAGCCAGAAACCTGAAACTCATCTTTTCCTTGGCATTACTTTAAAAAATTTTAAAAAGCTTTATTAAGGTACAATTGACATACAGTATTTAAAGTATGTAATTTGATAAATTTTGACAAATGTGTACACACTCTGTGAAACCATAAAACAATCATTATAATGAACATCATCATCCCCAGAGGTTTCCTCCTGCCACTTTGTAATGTCTCTCTCCCACTTCTCCGCTCCAACCTTAGGCAACCCCTGATCTCACGACATATTGGTTTGCATTGTATAGAATTTTCCATAAATGGAATCATATAATGTGTATCATGTAATTCTTTTTTTGTCAGGCTGCCTTCACTCCAAATAATTATTTTAAATTCATCCTCTTCATGCTGGTTATCAATGGTTCATTCCTTTTTACTCTGGAAATAACTTGTACAGATATACTGCAATTTGTATATCCATTCATCTATTGGTAAATATTTTAGTTCTTTCCAGTTTTTCAGCTTTTACAAGTGAAGCTAAAATTTGACCATTGTATTCCATTTATCTTTAGCAGTTTTACATCTGTCCTCTTATAATAAGACTCCTCCTTTGAGTCAGATTATTTTGGAAAATATATGTAGACTTCTCTGTCTTTGGCCTGAGAATTCCACATTTGAAAATAAGCACCAGGTCAAACTTCATGCCTCTTTCTCCACCCTGTTGGCAGTCCTCATGAATTAAGTGTCCGGACTTCAGCGCTTAGGGGTGAGCTGAACGTGCTGATGGACTGTTCCATGAGGGATCTGAATTGAGGACAAGATCTACAGGTGGCCTTTCCTGGCCAGCTCATTAGTGCTCCTAAGGAATAGTTAACTGTTTCATGGCAAAACCTGTGAGTAAACTAACAAAAGTATTTTTGGCTGTGCAGAGGCCGGAATAGAAGTTCTTTCTCAGCTGTCTCAACTAACTGGCACGTTATTTACTGCCCCCACTGGAATTGCAACTGGCTCTTATCAACACAGTAAGTGTATATGGGATCTGACCATCATGCCCAACACCCACCAACTCCAGGATCACCAAAGGGCAAAACACAGCCAATACTGTTGGTCCTGCTGATGTCAGTTACTGCCTTTCATTCCTTCTCTGAAGGGATGCTGTCACTTCCCAAACTAGGTCATTTGCCATCACTTAGTGATTTGCTTAGAAGGAGATTATTATCACAAATATTTGCTTCAAACCATCATTTGCAAAAATGTCAGCTTTAACAGTTAAACAAAGATGTATAGTAGCTGATCTAGGGAAATAATAAGTACAAAGAACATTTTTTCTTAGTACAATAGAATCAAAGTGCTTTTATTTGGAAAAATGAATTGCAGCTCTAAAGAGATGGTGAAGAGGCTGGCTGGAGTTCCATTTCAGTAGCATTATCTGAGAGGAAAAACAAAGATAAAACACACCTAGAAGCAAAGTTTCATTTAGATAATGCTTTAGCTGCAGCTGTTGGATCAAGCTGTAACATCGGCTGACCAACAAGAGAGTCAAATTGCTTTACTACAATGCTAATCCTTTTCCCCTTTAAAACTCCCTGGCCTCCTATCAAACAGGGCTTAGAGTGTTGTAGAAACTATATAAAGCATTACTTCTCTATTCCCGAATGCTAAGGGTCTTTCAAGACTGAAGAAAGCTGGCATCATTGGGAAACTTATAAGGGAAAAGATTTCATGTAGATACAACAAAAAGCATATTGACTTAATATAGTTGTTTTTTTTTTTTTCAGCAGAAGTCGCTTGTTAATTTTAGTTTATTTAGCAACATCACCAAATAACACATTTGGCCCTGTACAGAGAAGAATCAGCCTCGAAGAGACAGCAGGGCTCAGACACTGCTGTTTCTAAAACAGATTTTCTTCTTTTTCTCCTCTGTCTCCCCTTCCTCCTGTCCATCCTCCTTTTCCCACTCTTCTTCTTCCTCTCCTTCTGGAAGAATGTATTATAAATGTTTTCACACTTACCAGCGAAAGTGGGGGGAGAAGCACCAATCTGTCCATTTAGGACAGAAAATCAAGTTGAACCTGGCCCTGCATCATTCTGTAATTGATTTTCCGGGAGAGAAACTTTCTTAAGCACCCACTACAATGCAGAGATATTTGTAGAAAAAGAGCAGCTTCACAGGATGTAAGAAAGATTCGAGGTTGGCTACAATGGGGATGACTTTGGATGGAGAAGGAACTCAGGGCAGAGTGGGGTTTTCCTGTATTTTTATCTTTAGGATGTAAACATAAAACAGAATTTCTTACTTGGATGTCTACTCTGCTTTCTGACACGAAAATCCAGCAGCTGTTTAATCTTTAATTTCAAATGCAGTATAAAGTGTCAGCCTTCTCTATCAAAGAGTAGATAGACCTTTGAAGTGATTCATGTGTCCTGTTTGAGTGTCTCATGTTACCTTTGAAAGCCGACTATGGGTGTTTATCTAAGTCTTCTAATGAGAAAGGATAATAAGCCTGATATAAACACAACGAAAATTTTTTGTACTGAAAACGAGATGAAATCTTCTATCTGAGCTTAAGTCTGCAATAATAAATGGAGAAAATAATTGTCAGTTCTTAGTGACTGGCTGGGACGACAGTGGGACAGGGCGCCCCCTTCCATCTACTTCAGCGAATCAAAGCTGCAGACATGGTCCAGCCTCACTGACTTCCTGGAAGACACCTTGAAATCAGTAAGGAAACAATTAAGTCCTCTCTTCAAGGAGCTGCAGAAGAATGCCAGTGGGAGGATGATAGGTGAGAACTCTTCCTACTTCTGCCGCAGGTTAATTTTGAAGCTTGTTACATTCCATGGTGAATACAAGTTTAGGAATGCCTAAGTAGAAGTGGACTCTTAAACATCTTCGGTATAACTTTAGTCCCTTTGTTTTTCATATCGCCTTTCAAATATAGAGAATATCCACTAAGAACAAATATATTCATCTTCAAAATGCTGAAGCTAATTCCTAGTTTCAAATTTTGCCGTCTTATTAATTCTGTGTCAGTCAATTGTTTTTGGTGCAGTTGAGAATCTAAACCTTATAAGGCTTAATTTCACATGTTCTTTTCTTGTCCAATTTACAGATTTCATTCAGTATCAGCTTTGTCAGGGTGGGTACTTTTATATGCTGCACATTTAGAAGTTTTTGTTCATTTTATATTTTATCATGGTAGATAATCCTCATGGCATGATAGAATTTTTCTTTTTCCTCTTTCCATGTTTATCCACTAACAAGAAACTGTGAGAACTGAGTTTTCTTCTTGATCACATCTTTTACATAAATTAATTACAGGGCATATGGCCTTATATTTACAGGGCAATTTGTATTCGACACCATGAGTATGGCTAACACTCTGAATAACCAAGAAATTGTACAAGCTCTGGCAGATGGATTGACAGAACTTTCAAAAGAAAATTCTGTAAGTGTTTCTTTGAATAAAACAAACTATAAAACCCCTAACACTTAAAGTAAGTTTTTAGTTTGCATTTATTGTTATTATTATTTTTTACCAGTTTATCCCTTTGGGACACAATTTCTCAGAGAAGTTGCATTGGTTTATGAAAAAAGCCACTGAGAGATTCTGAACCCAAGATAAATTAAGTGCACAATACAGACATATGGGAAAATCTCGGTTATTTAAAGTTGATCACATGGTGCACTGTTTTCTCTCTTGTGATTAATTTTAGTCAGAGGTGACTTATTTTAAAAACATGTTTAATGGCTTTATATTTCACAAACATTATTCAGTGGTTAAAACAATTAATAGTACGGCAGAAAAACTGAGAAAGTGTGAAGCCAGCTATAAAAAGATGAAGGGCAAAGAAGGCTAGATGAGAGAGGAAGGGAAAAAGAACACAAAAGAACAGACAGAGCAAATCAGTAACTTGGTTGGGGATAAATGTGGGGAAAGCCTAAAGAAACATTTTCATCAGAAACAAGTCTTGAATGCTCTCCCAGAAATGTCAGGCCACATTTCAGAAAACAGTGCAGAGGCATTGTACAAAACACACTCTTCCCCAAGACCAGAGCCAGGCTCTAGGAAGATAAAATACAGTCAGCCCTACGCCTCTGTGGGTACCGCACCCATGGATTCTGCATCCTTGGATTTGACCAACCACGGGTTGACTATATCCAGAAAAAAAATTCCAGAAAGTTCCAAAAAGCAAAACTTGAATTTGGCCGTGCACTGACAACTATTTACATACCATTTACATTGTACTAGGTGTGATAAGTAATCAAGAGATGGTTTAAAGTATACAGGAGGATGTGCTCAGTTATATGCAAGTACTATGCCATTTTACGTGCAGTTGCGAAGGGACTTGAGAATTTTGGTATCTGTGGAGGTCCTGGAGCCAATCCCCTGTGGATACTGAGGGACGGTTGTATGCGGCGCCTGGTTCTGGGGAAGCTGAGACTAGGACAGGAGTAGGGATGATGTTAACATCCCTGTGTACGATAAGCTGTCTAGTTTTCCAAGGACAGATTCTCAAATCCTACCCTCCCACTGTAGTAATTCTACTTCATGGGTGAGTTGAACCATCGTCTTTGGGCACACTCTCCTTACCTGTCCTAGTTTCAACGTGGCTTCCTGGACAAGCACCACACATCTCCTGCGTTCGCTGTCCAGTGTGGAGCCTGAAAAGTTGCAGTTAGCCCTGATTTTCTTCTCTGAAGACTCAGCTCCTCAGCCCTCCAGCAGCCCTCGGGCGACCCAGTGATAAAGGCCCTGGCAGACTTTGCTGATAAAATGATGAGGGATGTTTGCAAAGAGGACCCTGAGGCCCTGCAATTCTCTGCACTGTCCCCAGACACCAAAGAATCATTAAACATGTTTGGTGTAGGTTCACAGTACTTATTATAATTTCGATGGTGCTCAAACTTACAGCCTGAGGAGGAACCAAATTTGGGAGTGTTACAGGGTGATTTCCCCAAGAATTCTGTTGCAGTAGCCTTTCCCCCAGGCCTTCGTTCCCCCTGTAAGACAACAGAGTCATCCTGTCCCCTTTCCTATCTGGCTAAGAGGCCGGTGTGGGCCGCCTTGGTTCTGAAGATCCTGAGACCCTCCCACAAGACCTTGAACTAAGATTAACTAGAAAGTCCCATTTACTGACTCTAATCGAATAATACTTTGTTTTCTGGACTTACAAGTTAATTAACCAGAATGCTGAAAACTCTACTAAAAATGTGTTCTTTTTTCTGCTGCAATTTTTTGACTTGTATTTTAAATGGGAATTCTTTTGGGGGGGGGGCTGATCTTTCCAGGACAGACCTCTGGAATTTTTGTCATCTTTCCTGCTGAAGAAATGTAGTAAAAAGAGCAAAGATTTTGAAGGAAATATTATCCTGCCAAAATGTGACCCCACGGCAACATGTGATTTATTCACAGAGGTAAAGTTGTTGCAGCATTTTTATGCCGTTGCTTCACTATGGAGTTAGACACATGTGCTCAAGAAATTCATAAACAATAATGATCATTCTACCTGGAAAGCTTTCAATTTGTCATTTCTCCTAAGAACTTCATTTTCATGGATTAGTATTTAAATAAAGGTGTTTTGCAGTTTCATAGTGTGAGTAACATTTAAGCCACTTACAAGCACATGTGGCCCCGTGCTGGCAGGGGTTACACTATCCGGCTCTTGGGAGAAGAACTGGACGCTGCATTCAGCCTGCCATTCACTCAGTGGAGGCCTGAGATAACCTAAAGAGGTTTTTTTTGTTTCGTTTGTGGCCCAGGACACTTTCTTTGTGAAACTAAAAAAAATTTTTTTTTTGAGATTCAAATTCATAAAAGAAAAACAAAGTGAGTTTGAAACTAGTTCTTTAAGCAAGAAGAAATCATTTTGTCAGGACTAGATTCAGAATCCATACATTCTTGGCTAAGTGAAATGATCGGGATTCAGGAATCACTGAAAATCATATTATCATTCAGAGAGCTGATTTCTAGGAAAGTGTCATTTTATGCCCATTGAAAAAAAATCACCAATCTTTGATGACTGAAGGCTTGGGATACCATCCCCAACACAAAGTCGCCATGGAGACTGTTGGTAGGAACAGACGTGTGAGTTCCCCTAGCAGGCAAATCCTGTGCTGCCCTAGGAACCTGAAATTCTGGAAGTCTTTGTCGACTTGGCTCTAGAGGACAGCACAGAGCAGGGAAGGGCAATCAGGGAGGACCGCTGGTGGCGGCGTCCCCTCTGCCAAGCTGCCCCTCCCTTGCTCAGCAGAGTGAAAAATCTGCAGTCGTTTGGCCCCAGCCCTCTGTTGTTAGCAGAGCCTGCCCTGTAGCTGAACCCCTCCCCATGAAGCGGCTTATTCTTCCCAACCACAAGCATCCTCCCCTAGAGGAGTCTTAATAAACACATTTCCAGGGATATCTAAGCCTTTATAGGTCAGAGTCCTGCTTCCCTGCTGCCCCACCCCTAATCTGTCTTTTCAGGAAAGTCTCATGAACCATGTATTCATCAGGGTTCTCGCGAGGAACAGAACTATATATAGTTCTGTGTGTCTGTATATAGAAAGGGGTTTGTTATAAGGAACTGGCTCTCACAATTATGGAGGCTGCCAAGCTCTAAGATCTTCAGGGTGAGTCAGCAAGCCAGAGCCCCAGCAGAGCTGGTGGTGCAGTTCTAGTCCAAACACAGGCTGGCTCGAGACCAGGAAGAGCTGACATTTCAGTCCAAAGGCAGGAAAAAACCAGTGTCCCAGTTTGAAGGCTGCCAGGCAGGAGGAATTCTCTCCTACTTGCAGGAGAGTCAGCCTTTTTGTTCCACTCAGGCCTTCAACTGATAGAACGAGGCCCACCCACACTAGGGCGAACAGTCTGCTTTACTCAGTCTGTTGATTTAAGTGTTCATCTCACCGCAAAATGCCCTCAGAGGCATAACCCAGAATAATGTTTGGCCAAACATTTGGGCAGTCCATGGCCTGGTCAAGTTGACATATAAAATTAACCATCACAGACCACTTCTTGGGCAGAGGTCAAATCCCCATCTTAGTTCAGCTCCCTAAAGACTTACAGGAACTGACCATATGTGAGGCACTGTACTAGACCCTAGGAATAGACATAAACTAAGACACAGCCTCTGCCTTTGAGAGACCTGCACCTACTTAGATGATGCAGCATGATTGCTGCCTGTTAGCAGGATGCACAGGGCAGGGATTTAAGGTAGATTCCCTTTCTGCTCAGAGTCCTCTTGCCTTGTTATAGTAGCCACTATCTCTTTGAGATTCCTGGGAATTAATCTCCCAAAAGGGTGGACGTCATCTCTGTCCCCAATTTAGCCTATGAAAACCTTTAAAAAGTAACACTCAGGGCTCCAGGACTACTCATTTCCCCTTGGTTCACTAAAGGGAATAATCAGTGTGTAACCACACTACACAGGATCCGAATTCTTCCAAAACCCTTACAACGTCTGGGTCATTCCTGACTCCCCAAAAACCTTATTGAAGTTCTTCCATCAACCTTTATTCCTCAAGAATGATGGTGTCACCCTCAACCATGGACATACAGACCCCAGAAATGCCCCACTTTGCAGCAAGAAAACTTGAAGAAAACAATAGGGACAAAACTATAGGTGTTTCCTCTTCTAAGTGTTCATTTTACATTTGAGAGCCCTTACTATTGGCGAGAAGCATTGCTGGAATCTCTGACCCTTGAAAGGATGGTCACCTAGAGCAAGTCCTCTCAAAGATTCTTTCATTTGTTCCTCCGCCAAATAAAATCCACACTGAACTAAGTCTTCTCAACCAGCTGTTGACCTAATCACCCAATCCCTTTAATGAAACAATGCAGAAAGTTGGGGCTTACAGTTGCCTCAATGCTGGAAACCAAGCATGCTCTTGTTACATCGCCTGCCTGTAATAAAACTACAGAAACGTGAGACTCCATGCCTAGGAGTGTCTTTGATATTTTCCTTTTTTTTCCCAATCAAATTAGAAAGAAAATATGTTAGATTCTTACTTGATTTTCTGCTATTTAACACTCAAGGGCCTGTGCACAACACCCACGAAATGAAATTGGGGAACCTAGGAAGGGAAACCACAGCTTACATGTAGGTGGTGAGTTCAGATCAAATACAGAAGCTGAGTTTTTCCATTCCCTGGGGTTTATTTTTAAAAAGTGTAGATATTTGTCCAGAACAGCAAACTCACAGCCCTAGAAGTGGAATGTAATGCCTTCTTCTGAGATAATTGTTTTAAAGATCCTTCCATAGGGGCTTGTGTAAGAGGGCCTGTCTGCCAAGTCCAGGACCAAACACACACACACATACACACACATGAGTACACACAGATCTATAGATAGACACGTGTATATATAGCCCTCTCTCTCTCTCTGTCATCCTGCCCCCCAGTCGGTAGTGACGGCTGGTCCTGGTGCACCTGCAGTGTTTCCACTGATACTATATAACCATGGAGGTGGGTCACAGCCAGAATCATAGTTGTTCTTCAGCCCTGCCTGTCATTTGCACAACTGTTTCTGGCCCCTAATTCAGGCAGCCGAGTGTTATTCTGGGAGGTGCAGCAGCAATAACTAGGATGTCTCTGGAAAATGCAGTGCCGGCCTATGCTCCATCCTAGAGGAAAATTCCTCCCACGCGATCAGAGGTCTCCCTTCCATGCCATGGAGAGAGCGAGGCAACGGCCCACCGACCCAAAATAATTGTTTTCTTTAAAATGTGCAGTTTGTTGCCCCTGTTACTTCTTCTGAATTCATCCCCCAAAACAAATAGGGGATAGCATCTTAACCTAAAAATAGGCTCTAAAAAATCCTAGCAACTGGACGTGTAGCACAAAATGAGAGAACTCTACATTTTTAGGTTCAAACACAATTACCACGTCCAATTGATTTCTTATCCACAAAGAAAAACTTACATTTAAAAAAATAGCTGTTGCGGAGCCAGGGGGATACAAAGCCCTGGTCTGAGCAAGCAGGTTTTAAAATAGCCAGGAAGTCTAGGAGTCGTGCTGATGCCTGAATTTTAAGGCACAAGCACTCAAGTGAGCCCGTCCAATAGGACGGCATCCTAGGTGAGGGGGCCTCCCTCGTCTGTGGGACCCACAATCTGATTTGGCACCGTTTGGGCTCTCTTCATCTCCAGCCAGCCAATCTGAGTTTTATTTTCATTTTACATCTGCACCCACTTCTACCTACACAGCCACAGGTGTCACCACTGACTGGCTGAAGTTATTTCTCTACATAAACTATTAGCATAATTATTTTGAGAGAAGAGAGTATTCCACTCATAGCAAATTTGAATGATTTTGTCAAAATTCAAAGTAAATCCCTTTTCTCCTAGCATAAGCGTGGAGCAGACGTGAAGCGCTCAGGCCAGCCAGGGGGAAGCTGGCTGGCTGTGCGCGGTTCAGGGACCAGAGCTCTTACAGAAAGGCTTCAGGCAGCCTTAAAGGATGGCTGCAGGTACAAATAAAAGTTCACTTTTGCTTGAGTAGATTAAGGCAAAAAGAGCCTTAGTTACAAACTGACCTTTTCCTTCCAGTCTCACTCCGAGATGTCAAGGGGTTACCACGGGCGGTCTTATCTCTGACTCGGAAGGACGGCGGTAGTGACGGCTCAGCGTCATTAGCTCTCAACACAAACATGGGACCATTGTGCCGGTGCTCGGCTGGACCCTGGGTGCTGCAGGCAGAAGAAGGGCTATTGTTTTTAATGTGCTAAATTATATGGAAGCCACAGAACAATTAACAGGGTAAAGTGAAGAGAGAAAAAGCCAGATTTCCATGTGGAAACACACCTAGAAACAGCATGTGAGTCGCACCAAAGTGCTGCGCTGAATGTAGTTTCTCACGTGTAATAGTTCCTAGGAAGCGAACAGTTGTTTTTCTTAACATAAAATTTCATTTAAGAGAGGCATGAAATTTGTCAAGCGCGTAACTCACTGCGTCTAGGGGCCAATAGTTAGGGCTGAAGGCAGAGCTAACGGGAGCCTCCTGTGGGCATAGCACCGACTGGGTGTTTAGCTGTTCCGAGGCCTGCCTCCAAATAACCAAGTCTGCATTGAATTCTCAGGAGAGAAATGTTGTAGAAGACAATCCTCAGGACACAAAATCAAGTCTCAGCAAAAATGATTCAAATTTTGAGTTGCTGGTTAAGCTGGTAAGTCAATTATTACATTAAAGAGTTTTCTATTTGTTTTGCTCCTGACCCCCGGAAAGTCTTCAGCCTTTATTCTGGTTGGTTCTTTATTTTTTCCAGAAAGTTTCCCTTAAGGGGAACTCCCCCCCCCAATATAACAGGGGGAAATCCAGACAGTAGGTTTTTCTTTTGAATAAGTCCTGTTCTGAAAAGTTGAGCCAAGAGGATGGAGATGTCACTTCTTGGGGGCAAGAGCCGTCTCTGTGCTGCTCTGTGCTGTATGAAAAGGACGCTGAGACAGCATTTAAAGAAATGGCATAGGGACCTAAGGGTTCACAGTTTCTAACTGACCCACCAACCGGGTCTGACTTCAACTCTGCACATCCCAAACCAGAAAGGGGAGATCGCAGAGCAACTGCCTGACTGCTCCATACTTGAGTTTCTCTGACTTTGACTGTCAGACTTTTTGAGGCTGTAACCTGGAAAAAGTCATTATGCTTCCCTGTGAATTCTAAATGCTTTTCTACAGGAGAAAAAGCTACAGCTGGACTCAGCTGTAAAGCGAACCAGCGTCCTCAGAGAACTCTTCCAGAGTGAGAGAAAGTACGTGCAGATACTGGAAATTGTGAGAGGCATTTACGTCGCGCCACTGAGAGCAGCGCTGTCATCAAACAGAGCAATTCTGAGCGCTGCAAACATCCAGATCATTTTCTCTGATATTCTGCAGATTTTATATCTCAACAGGTAAACTCTGAGCAGGTGTTTTTTCGAAATATTCATTGGGTGGTGGGAGGAACCCCCACTGAATGGAATAGCTTTCCAAAACTATCCAGAGGCTCAGTCGTTCTCTGCTCTTCTTGGGGACCCTGCCTGCATCTCACAAAAGACAATGGGCCCCAAATCCTATAAAAAGAAGAGGTCGAACTAGGCCTCTTCCAGTTTGCAAGGTCCGTGATGGCTGAATGAGGGATAATGATAACCTCAGATCCACCAGGAAATGGGCTGAGGGAGGCTGACGGCCTTCAGCTGTTGAAGTGAGTTGAGCCCTGTCCTTGGAGGAAGGTAAGAAACTGTCCCCCAGACGAAGCAGGAAGGGGACAGTCAGGGGCAGCCTCTGGTGGCCAGCCTGGAGTGCTGACTCAAGGAGTTGAGGTGAAGAGGCGGGCTTCCACCAGAATCAGCCTACTCCTTCCCTTCCCAGCTCCTCCTCTCCTGTCACATCTGTGCTGCTCTGCGTCAAGGCAAAGGGATTTGACAAAAGCCCTGCCCCAAATGACTGACAACTCATTTATCAGGCTATCACTGGCCGATGTCTCATGGCCGTGCTTTTCTCGTACTGCAGGCAGTTTCTAGATGCCCTGAGAGACAGACTGCAGGAATGGGGCCCAGCTCACTGCGTGGGAGAAATAGTCCTAAAGTTTGGAAGCCAGTTGAACACATACACCAGTTTCTTCAACAATTACCCTGTTGTTCTGAAAACCATTGAGAAGGTAAAAGACTGAGTTACCATCCAGGCATTTTTCAGACCTTCTGAGCTTGAAAGGAAGTTTCATGTATAATTTAAAGGACTAGAATTAATAGGAAATACTTCTCTACTCTTGGCTTCCAGATCTCCTCTGGTTTACTGTGAACTCCTTGAGGACGGGGACCCCAACTTAATCTAATTTTGCGCCAGCAGGAGCTGGCCCAGTGCTTGCCCCAGCAGGGCCCAGGAACAGGTGGTGGGAGTGATCTAACCCTCATGCAAATTCCCAGATTTCCATCTGTCCCAGGCACCTGGGGCTCAGTTGCAGGAAAATGGTCAACAATTAGGCAGAAGCACGGCTGAGCTCTGCCTCCATGCGGCCTCTACAGCCCTGTGTGGCCTTGCCTAGTCCAGCTCTCTCCTGGAGAAAAGAATTCATAATCCGTATGTTGGAAGAAAGACACCCAATGTGTGAAATCTCACTAAGAAATAAGGAATTTTTTGTCTTGCGTTCTGTAGAGAGTGCATTAGAAACAATCTTCTCTGTTGTGACTTACACCCTCACTGCTCCTGTCGGGACCTCTTCTGACAGCAATAAGATACCTCTTTCTTCTCTCCTCAATTTGCATCAAAGAGTAGCAGAAGAGGCTGCCTTGTGACATGGGGGTCCACTTCTGCCCGTGTCCCCTGTGCCCACTGTGGCCGTGTCCGCTTGTCTGCACTGAGGCCCTGAAGAGAAGGCCCGGAGGGGCTGGGAGGTCTCAAGACGATTCCTGACCTCAGACACCCCCCTTTGTCGTGGTCTTCCTGCCCCGCCCAGGGAGTTTAAACGCTGCTGGACAACTCAGTTATGTGAGGGTCACATCAATAAGGCAATTGCATAGAACTGACCTTTAGGGCTAGAACTGGAACAAAGCATCACACATTGTCATAGGCAAATTGGTGCCAACATTTTCACAGTCATGGGCAATAATGTATCTATTTCACTAGCGTGGGGGTGCACATAAGTCAGTACTCAATAAATGTTAGCTATGATGGAAATCAGTGAATATTTGATTTCTAGAAATCAGCATTACTGTCATCTGAGAAAAATAAGGTAACTTCCTGGGTGCCCTAATGGTGATGAGTAATATATTTTCCAACAGATGGTAGGTAGAGTGGAGCACCGTTTTAATGTTACTGTGGAAAACATGATTAACAGCAGCATTATAGGTGAGCACCATCAACAGTCTCTTACTAGAAGGAAGTAACATTTACTGTGTGACTTTATGGCACTTTATGGATAGGATTTCCTCCCCTCACCACAAGAGTTACGTACAATATCTGTGAGAAAACTGAGGCCCAGGGAAGTTAAGTAACTTGACACTAGAATTAAATTAGGAGTCTGATTCTAATCCAGCCCTACCTCCTTGCAGAGTCCATTTTCATTTTCCTGCAATGAGTAAGTTCAGTGACTAGGGGTGGGTGTGTGGTATAAATCATGCACTACACTTAGGCTCTCAGTAAGCACCTGCAGTATTAACAGTACTCTTGATTAGTGGCAGATGATGTTCTTCTGCTTTGAGTGTTTCGTAGATCATGCCTGCCTAGGGGAATAGAATGCTTTACAGCTGTCTTATAGAGTCTTGATGCTATAATGCTCACCTTTAGTGCAGAGAAATGACACCAGCATTCCGAGCTTTCCTGAAGAGGCATGACAAGACCATGGTTACCCATATGCTGAGGTAAGTTCTGAAGGGCAGCACAGCTGGGGCGCCCCAAGGATCGGGCGTTCTCTGGCCATCGGAAAGGAGACCAGGGTTCCCTTCTCTGTGCCTCACGCAGCCTTCCGGAGCTGCTTTTGTATCCATCCCAAAGAATTGAAGAATATATTCATCTTCTCTATGCTCTGAGGCTTCATACTCCTGCAGAACACGTTGACCGTGGGGACTTGACCACTGCAATTGAACAAATCAAAAAATACAAAGGTTATTTAGATCAGGTTGGTCACTGATAAGAGTCTGTGTCCTTTAAAGATGTTACGATGCCTTTGTGGTACTCTAAGATCCTGAAATATCTTAACTTCGTGCGGTTTTCTTTACTTCAAAATCTTTCATCCTTTTATGATGTGAAATCATTGTGTTCAATGATTTTGAGCCCTGAGGGCATCTATTCCAAGTCAAATCACATAAGACAGAATGTCTTCAGATATCTGTATAAGTACAATAAAATCTTTATTAATATAAAAGTTTAAAGAATGGAGTATTTGAGTTGATTTTTCTAGATGGCTAAAAGAAAAAAAGTAAAACCCCTTGTTTCTGAAAGGACTTTGTAATGTGTTAATTAACTATTCTGCCTGAGTGACTACAGCAATCACAATGACTCCCTGCAAGATTTCAGTGTCTTGGAGTACAGCACTATCATTCTGAGAATATCATTGTGATGTGCAGACTGCATGGGCTGAATGTAAACTGATCACACGTTATGCCCAGAAAATACTTTCTGAATACAGTCTTGTCACTTGCCTTTTTGTTTTAAAACATTGGGTACCTGATGTTGAGATTCTTACTATAGTTTATGAATATACTGAGCTCTTATTATAGGTGCCATAAAATACTTTTAACTTATTTTTTATGTATAAAAAATTACACTTTTAGTTTGCCTAAAATTACTTTGTTTTCTAGATGAAGCAAACCATCAATATGAAAGATCGGCTGTCAGACATAGAGAGAATCATCTGGGGGTGCCCTGTACGTATTTCTGATGTATTCGCTACATCTCGTGCTCATGAATTTTAACCTCAAGTCACTGGCAAAAGGAGACAAACAGATTTCAATTCAGCTGACATCTGTTGAATGCCTGCTGTGTGCCAGGTGCTGCCAAGCTCTCATATCTCACATCCTTGTTATCTGCAAGGGTGCTGGTTGAGAAGAGACACAAGTGGGCTTGACCCCACCCCATAACTTCTTTGCAGTCTTAGCCCCTTGCTCGGTACTACTGTGATCATGACCGCCTTTGAGGAATGGGGCCATATCTTTATTGTTTTCTGTTTCCCTGCACACAGTGTCTGGTGTAGGATTCTGCACACTGAGGAATCTGCAAAAATCCTGGAAGTGTTCTGTTGGCTGTCTGTTACATACAGAGTATCATCTGGTCCCATTCTACCTTCCCTCTTACTGCCTTGCCTACCACCTGACGATCAGTCCATGCAGATCTACTCACAGTTCTTCAATAATCTTAGCCTTTCCCCACACATCTGTGCTCTGCCCATGTTCTTCCTTCTTGCAAATTGCCTTCTTTGTCTACTCCACTGAATAAACTCTTATTCATCCTTTAAAGACCCAGTTCAATCACTGTCTGCCTTGTAAAGTTTCCCCCAACGTCCCCAGTTGCAAGTTTCCCCTTCCTAGGTTTTCTGCAGCACCCTGAACATCCCTGTCACATTTTCTTGCGATTCTTTATTCACAAGATTGGGGGTTCCATCAGGTATGCACTGTGATTTACTTGTCTTCTACTGTTCAGCATATTGAAGGAACTCAGTATATGAACTATACTGAAGTATCAATTGATTGGAAGTGTTATTTTTATTTGTTCAAGTTGGGGAAGCAAGATGGAGTTGTTCAGGACTCATTTAGATCTGCACATTTGATAGGGAAAGAGAAGTGGAGTTGATTCGATTACAGAAAATTCAAAATCTTGGAACTCACTGAGTCCATAGAACTTTACCTCTGGATCACAGTGTACACCAAGTGATCACCTCCATGCCTAGATCAGCAAAAGGGCCTGACTTCCTAATTTGTAACAATTCATTCACTTCTTTTTCTTGATCCATCCCTACTTACCCACCCCACCCCCACTTTATCTTAGATACTAGGAAAGCATTTATAATAAAACAATGATTTTAATAGTTTAAAAAATTAGACAACACCCTCAATTCTGCAGTCTTCCTAAAGAAAGCCTATTTTTACAAAAAATGAAAACATTTGCTTTATTCATAATTGAACTGAGTTCTACTCAACATTTACATCTTCTGGGATATAAAATAGTTCTGCAGTAGTGGGACTTGTTTTCTAAAAATGTATATATGTTTCTAATTTTGTTTTTGATTTCATAGATTCTATCAGAAGTAAACAGATACCTGATTAGGGTCCAAGATGTAGCCCAACTTCACTGCTGTGATGAGGAAATAAGCTTCTCTTTAAGGTAAACATTTAACTATGCTATGGCTGTGAGTGTGTCTTACTCATCTTGCACCCAGCATCCAGGACAGTGTCTGACATCTTGCAAGCTTACAGTGAATCTTTGTGTTGAACTGAAAAGTTGCACACACACCCCTCTCTGAGACAATGTTAGGTGCTTTAATCACTTCACTCGCATTCCAGGCAGCTACTGGGTGGAATGGAAGAAAGGAAATGGTCTTTGCCAGGACCACTAACTCCACAGAAATAGAAATTCTGAAGTCTGGTCACTTTCTTACTGAGAAGAGAGCCAAGTGTTGTGGGACATTACATCAAGTGTCTGCTCAGCTACAAGAAAGAGAAGACCAGTTTATTATCTGCAGATAGCTGTTGAGGTCGGTATTCAAAAGGTCTCACCAGAAGACCACCATGACACTGAGTGCTCATAGTAGTGTAAGAACTACTGTGATGGGAGGTGCCAGTTTCCGTAAGCTAGCATTCCTTTTCTCCTTTAGAACAAGGGTGGGCAAACTTCTTCAGTAAAGGTTCAGATAGTAAGTATTCTAGGTCTTTCTTGCCAGAAGATCTCTGTGGCAACTACCTAACTGCTGTTGAAGCACCCACACAGATACAAAAATACAATACATAACAAATAATACAATCTTCATGAACAATACAATACATAAGTGAACAAGTGTAGCTGTGTTCCAATAAAGCTTTATTTACAAAAACAAGGGGGGGTGTCATAGTGTTTTGATTCCTGCTTTAGAAAATTGTTTGCCAAACTATGTTCTCAGTGGTAAAGATGATAACCCAACAAATAGCCATCAAATGGAGAACTAACTCCAATAAAAGAAATAAAAATTGATTTGTCTTGTTATTTCAATGAATATATCAGTGAATGTTTCCCAAAGGCCCAGGGCAGGTCGATAGTTGGAAGAAACCAGACCCCTCATCTCTATCCCCACCTGGAGTATATATCTTAAATGAAAATCAAAGCACACAATTGTGTCACTTTTCTAATTTTCACAGTGTTTTTGTTTGCTTTTGGTCAGTGGCAGAAGAAATGAGCTAGAATGATGGGAGGAAACTAGCTACCACGCCAACAATTTTAAACACACTGGTGTAGCAGAAGACATGCTAGGATTATTCCAAGTTTTTTTTAAAGAATTTACTTTACCTTCATGTATTCATTCTCAAGCAATCTTTCTTTATGTAAGTCCCAGTTTCTGACTTACATAATGTATCTTTTCTCTGAAGAACGTCTTTTAACATTTTTTGCTAGGTAAGTCTGTTGGCAATGAATTTTGGTTCATCTGAGGCTCATTATTTCTTTCACTTTTGAAGGATAATTTTTCTGGCTACAAAATTCTAGGTCAGTGAGTTTTTTCCTTCAACACTTAACTTCATTCCACTCTCTTCTTGCTTGCATGGTTTCTAAAGAGATGTCCAATGTAATTCTTATCTTTTTTCCTCTGTAAGAAAGGTGTTTAATTTTGATTTTTGTTGTTGCTCTCTGGGTTCTTTGAAGATTTTATCTTTGTCTTTGATTTTCTAGAATTTGAATGTAATGTGTGTAGATTTTGGGGGATTTTTCCTGCTTGGTATTCTCTAAGCTTCCTGGATCTGTTTAGTGTTTGTCAATAATTTTGAAAAATTCTCAGCCATTATAACTTCAAGTATTTCTTCTGTTTCATTCTTTCCTCTCCATCTGATATGCCTGTTAGACTTAAGTACACCTTTTGTAATTTTCCCACTTTTTTGGGATATTCTGTTCCTTTCTTTTTCACTCTTTTCTCTTCTATTGATGTATCTTCAGGCTCACTGATTCTCTTCTTGGCTACATCCCGTGTGCTGATGAGTGCATCAAAGGCGTTATTCATTTCTATTATGGTGTTTTTGGTTTCTAGAATTTCCTTTTAATTCTCTCTTGGAATTTCCACCTCTCTGTTTATATTATATATCTGTACTTACATGTTGTCCACTTTTTCCATTAGAGTCCTTAATTTAACTTATCACAGTTATTTTAAACTCCATAGTCTGACAATTCCAACATTTCTGCCAAATCTGAGTCTGGTTCTGATGCTTGCTGTCTTACCAGACTGTGTTTTCCTACCTCTTAGCATGCCTTGTAATTTTTTGTTGAAAGCCAGACATGATATATAGAATAAAAGGAACTGAGGCAAATAGGTCTTTAGTGTGCAGTTTTACATTTATCTGGCTAGATGTTAGCCTGTATTTACTGTTTGTTGTAACTGTGGTGTCAGAGGCTACAATTTTCATTTTTGTCTCCCCTGTTGTCATTGGGTTTCCTTAAGGATCCCATAAATAGGACTTGAAACCTGCAGTTCTTTTCAGCTGTAATGCCTTGTTTGTAAGCAGTCCTATCGATGTGGTAGTAAGGTGTGAGGGGAAGGGAAGTTGTATGTTCTATGATGAGGTCTCAGTCTTTTAGTGAGACTGTGCCCCTGGGCTATGACCTTTACAAGTGCCTATAAGCGTTTTTTTTTTTTTTTTTTTGCTCACCTCTCGGATGAGACAGGAAGGTTAGGAGGAGTTGGAGTTGGGTATTCGTCTTTCCTCATGTTGGTTAGGTTCTGGTAAAATTGTTTCCATTGAGAACAGGCCTTTGTTAAGTGGAACAGAACTCTCTGGGCAAGTTTCAAATGGTTACTTTCTCCCTCCTTATGGGAAAAATGAAGGGATTGTTCTTAGATCTTCATGGTGAGAACTTGGTGGGGCTCCTGGAGGTAAAACTCACACAAGGGGTTGGTGTGGAGTGGGCTAATGCTAGGTCTCCAGGAGTTTGTAATCTCTTGCACTAACTCACATTCAGTCTCTAGCAATTAGTCAATTACCCTTTAAACATTCTTACCCGATGCTGGCTCCAGCAGGCAGCTGCCGCTTCCAGTAAGCTGTGCTTCTATGTACCAGCTTGTCTCTCCAGGTTTTGGGGTGGTAGTTTACCTTGTGACCTCATTTCTCTGATGGCTCTGAGTTGTTGATTCTGTTTTCATCTTCCTTTGTGTTGCGAGGATGGAAGTGATGACTTCTAAACTCTTTACATGTCCAGCCAGAAACCAGAAGTCTCAATTATTAGAATTTAGACTTCTGCTTTAGTCTTTGGACAAGAGTGCATTTAAAGATCTCAGGAAAATGGAGGAATACTAAATTATTTTACACTCTAATTATGAGGTACATTTATATTTAAGTAGGCACTATTTCAGTGATTTGCCAAGCAATAAATATAAATGAAATTTTACATTAATATTTGAAATTAATTAAATGCAATAAGGTTCATATTCCACAAGTTATCGCAGAACATTTAGCCTGTAACCTTGTTTTCTGTCATTTTAGGAAGTCACAATGATACTCCCATGATTTCCATCATTTCTACTTAGAGGAAAGTCTGTTTACATTTATGTGTACAAAACCAACTCATTTGAGTCTAAGGTTTTACAGTTTACCACATATTTTAACCACTCTCATTTGATATAATCCTTACAACCACCTGGTGAGGAAGGTGGGATGGAACTATGTTATGGCTGGTGAATCTGGATTTGAATAACTTGTCTGAGGTCACAGAACTAGTAAGTGCTGGCTCAGAATTCAAAAGCAGGTCTCAGTGTTCTGTCCACTGATTAGACCAGTAGGTGGAAAGATGAGCTGGGCTTTCCTCATAATAAACTCACCAACACAGCAGCAAGTACTAAACAAATTAGTAACAAACAAGAGCAGAAGCTAAGAAAGAACAAGTAAATAATTGCACCACAAAAATGAAAAACTTTGCTCTGGGGTAGAGATGAAGTCATGGAGTCATTTTAGAGCCAGGAAATCTGGAGGCATTTGTCCCTCTATGGATATAGCCCAGAGAGTTTGGGTATGTTAAGCTTTTATAATACATTGTGTACCTTAGAACTTTTTTATTATTGCTTTTTCAGAAACACCAATTTTCATCTATGTGACATTATGCTTGCCAATTTTGAGCAGTTTTATTTTTGTTTCCTTCTAATGGGGTCTCCTCAAAGGTTCTCTGAAACCCTAGGAACTCTCTAGGACTGGTGAACAGAGGCACGGCCTTGAATCACCAAAAGGAGGACTCAGACCCTGAGTCCTCAAGGAAGAATACTACTACACTGCCAAGGATGTATGCTGTTAACTTTCTTTTCAGCCTTTCCTGAAGGGACCTACCATCATTTACCAGGGCAAGCAGGCATTGGGGAAATACCCAGACTTCTCAGGTACACTGGATTCTGGCTCTGCACTGACTTTTATCCTGGCAACCCCCAAACCACTATGATCCATGAATCAGAATGTGGATGATGGGTCTAGGTGATAAACAGTTTTGGCTCAAGGCAGCTCACAGAACCAATGGCCTACTGTTGTCTGTTTATGCTCTGAAAATTCAGTTTTATGTATTTTTGGAAGTTAGATACTTTGTCTCTTGGACTGGCTAATGCAGTAATTAAACAACAACAAAACACTTCTAGAATGGTGTTAAGAATTTAAACTATAGTAGACCTATTCTATTTTGCTGAGTCATTGAGCCTATTTGTGACTAAGCAAAGAAATCCTATCCAGGTTCAAGGGACAAAATCTACCCTTGGAGTTGGTTCTTTTGAATGTGAGCAGAAGCAGCTTTCTGAAACCCTAGTAGGATCCAGAGTTTCCATTTCAGTTGCTCCATTATGTCAATACGAAAGGCAAAAAAAAAGCATTTGTTTTTGCATCTGTAGAATTGTTAAATTTAAAAAAAGTTTCTGGTGTTTTTTGTCTGGATGAAAATTGTTGGAGATCTTGTGGGGTGTAAATGGCTTTTGGAGAGCCTTTTTCTAGGTAAAACTCACCTATATATTTTTTAAACAGCACTTTTACAATCAGATTAAAATAATAAAAACTTCTTTGTGTGTTTATCTTTCCCTGCTCACGTCCTCAGATTACAAGTGGACTCAACTCCAAGCTCAAGTTAATGTGCCTGCTCCTTCCCTCCTCTGGCCTCTCCACCCACTCAGTCCAAGTGGGTCACTAAACTGGAATTCTCTTTCATTTACCTCTACTTTCAATGTTGTCCCTTCCAGAGGAAAAAAACTAAACATGTTTACTAGAACAAACACTCCTTTCAAAGCTACTTCTCCAAAGCACCCTTGTAGTTCAGATAGAACAGCAAAGTTTTATTGTAGCTTTAAACATTTTTCTAAAATGGTATGATTCTTATCAGCAATCGGATAAAAATATTGCCAAAAGGGTCAAGAATATGGTGGAGTTCTTTTGCCTATTTTAAAGTGGCCCTTTGCCCCATCCAGCCCAGCACATGCAGATGTAAAATGCACCCCATCTTTCTTGCTTCCCCTCTCCCTCATTCCTAGTTCAGTTTGCTCCATTATCCTCAGAATAAGCTATCAACTTGATCTAGAACATTATTTCTAGCAAGGTATCAGTAAATATGAAACAGCTACTCCTTCTAGCCTAAATCACAACCACAGAGATGGGATGGAAATGTTTGAAAAAGGAAGTTGGTTCTAGTTGTTGTGTGATCACTGCATTGTTATCTACCCACACACCTGACATGACCTGCATCTCCTCACACTCTCCAAAGAGCTGAACCTGAAGTATGGTACTCCTTAAAGATGTTTTGACATCCGCTCCAGTCCTTCACCTACCTCATGGGCATGACTGTAACTGATGACTTAGGCGCCTCACTACTCCACGTGTGGTCTGCACACCAGCAGTCCCAGGCTGCTGTTAGAAACGCAGAACCTCAGGCTAGCCTGGCTCTGAGGAATCATAATTTGCACTTTAACAAAAGCTCTGAGCAACTCAGATGCACATTAAAGTTTATATTAAGCACAAGTCAGAGCCATTATAATATAAAGTGGATTCTAAATGTGAATTATAGCAGCTTTTATGGAGAACAATCTGGAAGTCTTTGATAAAGTTATGTGTACTATTTGGCCAGTCAATCCTACCTGATAGAAGTAACAGTACCTGTAAGGAATTTATTTATATGTAAGGAATCAGTTTATCCCAATATTGCTCACAGTGGCAATAAAGGAATTAAAAATGAAAGAAGGAAGGGAGGGGGAAAGAAAGGAGGGAAGAGAGACCTGAGCCTGTAAACAAAGCAAATGTCCATGAAAAGAAGAACGTTCATCAAATGGGGAAGTGTTGGATACATCATGGTCCAGCCACACAATTATTTAGCTATTAGAAAAAAATTGAAGTGATTCCCATTGCTGAGAAAAGCAAGAAAGAAGTCTGGATAATACTACCATTTTTATAAAACAATGGCAACCTACCTCTAAATAGATGTGTATATATAGGTACATATGTGAATGATTACCTGAGCAGGTTAAAAAAAAAAGTGGAAAGTTACATACTAATTTGTTAACTTGGGTGACCTGAGTGGAGGAAGGAGCCAAACAAAAAATGAAACAAAAGAGTGGTACATTAAAAAAGCTGATGGTACATGCTGATGTTACTTTAGCATTTTGATAAAACTTTACGTGTATCTGAATCAACAATTTAAAAATTAAACAAAATTGATGAAGATAAAAAAAATAAGAGAATTCCTCTGAATAAGCCAGTAAATTGATTTGCTTCCTTAGAGTTACATCCTTAGAGTTGCTTGATGTTTTTAAGAGGAAAACATTTTTTGGTTATCTTCCATCAAAATAACGAGCTTGTTGCGCTTAGCCACTCCTGGTGGGGAGCAGGGATTGAGGGCGTAGGGTGGGGCTCCCCCAAGCTCCTCCCTAAGACATCACCTGGTGCTCCGTTTAGTACCCACAGTAGATGACCCATACTGGAGTACAGTGAAACTGGCTCCACCAACAGAAAAGCAAAGAGGATACTAGATGGAGGTTGGGGGCACAACATTTTGCTTACTGATAAACATACCTGCAGCTGACTTTGATGGCAACCTCAGTGAAAATAAATAGTTACTTAATTCCAACTTTTTATTGTTTCCCTCCAATCAAAATTAGAATTTCTTTCCTACTTAGTAAATGCTTCTCTTCTCCCTGCTTTCTGCCTGAGACACCTCACACCTTACTGATTCTTGTGCTTTTCTCTAATCCAACCTGTTCCCCTTAAAGATAAAACCAAACCAAAAGAAAATGTATTTTCCCCAGATTGCCTAAATACATCGAACACAAAATACCAACCTTTTGACAAAAGTTTAAAAACACAGCTTTAACGTGATTCGTGTCACAAAGGAGTGAAAGTTCTGTGTTCATTTTTCCTGCATTGATCGGATACTTGTCCAGTGGATCTCAAACCATTCCACCAGGAACCTTGAGGCCCACCCACACAATTGATCTGAGACAGAGGGACTAGTAACAACCAGAAAAAAATACAGAGAACTTCAATAAGCCATTCAAAAGGTCTGAGGTGGGCAAAATCCTTGACTACTGGGTTACCAACATAAAGATGGTGAACTGTGTAACAAGCACGTATGTATGCATATGTAAAACTTCTAAAACTGCTCCTTCTCTGTCTTAACTCAGGCTCTATGAACATACTCGTGATCTCAGTCTCTTCCTCTTCAATGATGCACTGCTTGTTTCTAGTCGGGGCACGTCTCATACTCCATTTGAAAGGACTTCAAAATCAACCTACCAGTTCATTGCATCCGTGGCCCTTCATAGGTTACTCATAGAAGATATTCCGGATTCCAAATGTATGTATTCTTTTCCTCCAAAGAGTTAAATGCCTTTAGGAAGCTGTATTATACAAAGCCCATTAACTATTAAAATAGAAAAGCAGGAAGAGAACTAGAATTTGCCAGTTTGCAAATAATTTCCCTAATAGTTTTAGGATCCTATTAATGTAAACTTTCATCTATCTCTGAAATAGCAAAAGAAAGGCATACTGGCATTGTCAGACACACACCTTAAGACATAAGGAAAACAACTTTCAAAAACCATGAAGAGAGACATAACCCTACATCATTGTGAGGGATTTTCTCAAGCAGTCTGACAGGAGCTGGGGTCCTTAACCACCACTCTGTACTGCTTGTAGATGTTACAATTTTAGATTTTTATCTATTACTTTTCCATTCTACTGGGAATAAGCGATTATTACAGGTTTGACTGTACCTTTTCTTCTGAAAGTTCGTATTTGAGAGTTCCTCTATAAAGGATCGATTTGCAAAGGATGTTTGGTGACAAACATTCCCTCATAATAATCTCAATAGAAATACCATGTTACGAAAATAAATCCTACTTAAACTTACTGTACTTAGTTTTTATCTTATACTCTACTTTCCAATCTTAAAAGGATCCGTATGTCTTTCCCATATTTGTTAGGCCAATCTGAGTGTAACACATCTCATTTCAGTATTTTTTACTGCATGCGAAGGCAGGACTCAAGGTTAAAGCTGGAACGAAGATCTCAGAGAAGGAATAATCTAAAATGGGCTGCTTTCCCTTTAGCTTTAGCCCCACTTAAACTCTGAGCATGAGAAAAAATGAACACTAAATATGGGAATAAATATTTCCACCTAGAATTCAACTCAGGTAAAAAGAGACAGTTACCTGTATCCACTGGGTGTGGTTGAAGAGTGTATGACACGTCTCCTTTCATCTCCCCTTAATCAGCTGTGCTCTGTGTCAAAATACCGTAACGTAATTAAGAGTGGGCACTCAGCTCAGCAGTCAGCCTAGTTCTGTCCTGGCCCCCATACCAAGGTGGTCCAGGTTGAGCTCTCAGCATCTCTTACCTACAATAACTCTTAGTATAGACCTTGACTGGTTCCAGTTCCTTCTGGAATTAAAGAACATCACATCATCTATCATTCAGTCTTTAAAAATAATTGCTAGTTATAATTAAACAATTATAATATAAAGGTAAGATTATTTTAGACTGTATTAGAATCATTCTGTATCTTAGGATATTATATTCTAAACTGGATTTGTATTTGTTTGAATCTCTCTTTAATTTCCAATAAAATTTTCAAGTTGACTTGGCTAATTCTTGAATTTTAAAACATTTTCTTTTGATTGTTACCTGCAAAGATTAATTAGTATACCCCAAATATTTTTACAGGTATCAGGAATGCATTTATTCTTCAAGGTCCAAAACATGAATGGATTTGTGCTACAGAGGGTGAGGATGATAAATTCCTATGGTTGTCAGTACTCCAAAGTGCCATCAAAAGTAGTATGGAAAAGTGAGAATGGACTTAAAAATCCAGCGGTGCCAATCTACCAAGACAAAGACAGACAGCGTATATTTTCTATTCCAGAAGATCCAGCAAGAAGCAGAATGATTATCAGGGTTGATGGGAGGATGAACTAGGATGGCCCATAAAGTTCCTTTTGATTTTTAAAATTTATCATATATGCTCAATTATGTGAAATGGACAAAAGAACAATTTGAATACAAAATTTTGAACCAGTTATTTTGGTAGTTATTTTTCACAGACAGTATTATTTAGAGTAGTCTGACTAACAAAACCTAAAACAGAACAAGGGTACTGGGTATTTAAAGTTTTGTTTTATGATCTAATGAAAAATAAAATCATAATGAAAAATGTTTCTTAAATGATCAGTATCTTAGAAAAATGTTTTTAATCTAATGGTGACTTACCAATCATCTTTAACATGTTCATAAAATTGTTATTGATTTAAAAAAATATAATATAAATGGTAATTTACTAAAAAAGTCTGACACATATCCTTAGTATGAATGTACTTCTCCAGAGACCATTTTTAAAAATACACCACTATAGTATTAAAAAGTTTTCTGTAATTTTTACATGTTCTTTTGCTACAAAATTAATTTCTTAGACGTTTCAAATAAAACGCTTTAAAAACCTGTTACACTGTTAAATTAGAAGGCTGCTGGTGGGTAGGGGACCTTTTAAAAAAAATAAAAAGTAAACTTGCCTGCAATAGAATTTAGCGGAGTGAAAAATGAAGAAACTAAGACAGTTCTGTTTTAAAATAGAGAAAAAGAAAAGTAAGTATTGAATAGTTTTCTGGGCCTTAAAGCCTTCACTTGTTTAACAAACTGAAGCTATAACCTGTTAGCCACTTTGAAGCTTTAGCTGATATATGCAGTAATAATATTTTTAGTTAATGGTAGATAAAAGTTGTATTAATCTGGGAAGCTTTTGGTTGTCAGTTTCCTTTTTGCTTCAAATTCTCCTTTAAGGTAATGAAATTTAGTACAGCCTAGGATTGTGAACTAGGTGATTTTAAACATTTTCTTCTTTTAACAACAAAAATACAAATTCCTTCAAAGGTAAATTCTTAAAAATTTAAATTCTTGTTAAAAAATGTACAAAAGTTAAAATATTGTGTTTTATTAGTGTAAAATCACACTTATGATTCTTTTATGATATATTCATGCAGCTTAACATCTATGATCCCATAGACAAAATAAAACATTAAAGGAATATCTGCTATTAGTCAGCAGTAAATGCAAATTTACAAATGTGATCGAAGTGTAAATACCATATAATACAAAACAACTCCTGAGACACTACATCATCCTGAATAGGGCACACTTCAGAAACCCTCTGTTCATAGGGAAAACCTGTCTCTATGGCAAAAGAACGAGTGACAAGACAGCTAAAGGTAAACTAGAAATCTTAAAGAATTTCCATTTATTCTGTCCATAATTAAGGTCCTCAGAAGTTTAAAAACAAATTACTTGAAAACACTTTTAGAGACTGATGAGCATAAGTTTCTAATTCAGAGAGAAAAGCATAAATTATGCAAAAAGTGATGTTTGTACGTGGACAGAATCTATGTTGTTTGTGGTGGTAACAATTTCCCTTTGCTTCTGGGGGACAATTAAGAAAGGCCTGCTCTGTGGTAATTTTGTAAGTTTACACGACTGCTGCTGAATTAAAATCTCATACACAAAAAGTTTAAGTCATAGGTGAAACTGATGAAATTGTCACAAGGAAAAACATAAAATCTGACCCTCAAAAATTAATGTGAAAAAGTCTGAAAGTGCCACGTGACTCTTGAAGAATGCTGATCACTGCAGAGCTATGGTTAAAGAATGCCTTATCTAATACAGTTCTTTCAAATCAAAAATTAAACAGGAAACTCACTTTAAAGATTTTTACAAAACAAACATGGATGCTTTGTTAAGTGTTAAACCTAAAAGACAACTTGACAGTTTATTTTTGTCTCCTTTGTGCTTGAGATGTAAATGAGAAGTCCATTCTGTGTCCAATCAGTGTTAGGCTTTGGCCCCGTTAAGTATAATGGACCAATGTTACGTATGTATTCCTAATGTTATGGAAAAACAAGGGTGGCCTGTGCCAACAAACACAATATACCCTCCAGAAAAAGTCATCCTGACCCTTTTATTGTTGAAATTAAAAAATAAAAGATACTTAAATACAATGGTGAACATATAGGGCAAAACAGAATCATAAAAATTTAATGTTGAATTAAGCAGTGAGCTGAATGTCTGCGGCTCCAAATTGGCTTTGAACCCAAAATCGCTTAAAAATGGGTATGTTCACAGTTAACGGCAATTGGCTTATAGGTGAGAGAATGGTCGAAGTTGTTCCAGTTGAACTTCCAGGGAAATTCTCTCCTCAAGAACATCCTGAAAAAAATGTAAACCCAAATTATGTTTCAATGTGTATAAAAATGAAGGCATATCTAACAACAGTTCTGCATCAATAAAACAATTTAAATTTGTTAAGATGAAGGGACAGTTGTTCATCTTTTAAAACTTCACTTTAGAAACATAGCTTCTTTATAATGTTAAAATATGATCTTAATTAAAATCTCTTTTCTTATTATTTAAATCAGGGTAATAAAACATTTTTTTGTTTCATTATTAGAAAAGCCAATTTTGCAAATGATGACTATCAATGCATGAATTTTGCATAAAGTCTACCCCCTGCAGTAAATGTAGATTAATCAGTTAACAGATTCTTTCCCCTGGTGATTACATCTGGTCATAACAACTCCTGAAACTCATTTTGAGTTTCAGTTTCACAACAAATAAATGTATTTTGCAATCAGAATCACTGTTGATTTTGAGCAATCTTTTCAGGCACCTAGCAACTTCTAAATCATCTATTTTACTTTCTTCTATCATACTGAAAGTATGGTGTTTTAACCAGAACTACCTCCTCCTATTTGGTACCATAGCTCCTTTTTTCTGTTCTTAGAGATAATGAGAAATGGAGTTTTTAAAAAAAAACTCCTATATACATGTTTCTATGGTCCTCCTTAGTTCTTCAGAAAAACATGCATTTACAAAATTTTCGTCTTCAAGGTATGGTACTAGCAAGCTTGTCATTAGTTTTACATTCTTCCTTTACAACGGACCAAATTCAAAATCAGAACAGCTATCTATAAATATCTTCTTTGATCAAAGAGTCACACAAGAAAATTGTTCCTTTAACATATAGTTATCAAATGCCTAATGTGAGGTTTTAGAGACATGATGGTTACAAGTCTATCTAAGACAGTCTATCTTTGATGTCCTAGCCTAAATATTAACACATACTTTCCTTCTTTTCTCTCAAAAGCACCTTGTTTTGAACACTATGGTATATGGTAACCCTGAAGAGTGATTATGATTTACCCTCAATGAATTTAGCTTAGTAAGACAGAGAGACAAATGTGCCATATGTAGAGATGGACGATGTGATACATGCTAGATAAAGGATATGAACAGAATGTTATGGGACTGAACTAGCTCTGTATTTATTTTACACTTTCATGGGCTCTTTTCTCATCTTCATGGTTTGCAACCTTCCTACTCAAAGTGGGGCCAACAGTCCAGCAGCATCTCCATTACCTGGAAGCTGACTAGAAATGTGCAGAATTCTCAGGTCCTACTCAATACCTGACATGAATCAGAATTTGTGTTTTAACATGATCCCAGATTAAGCGTATACACATTATGGTTTGAGAACCACTGGTTTATAAGACATGAATGCTTAATCATGTTGATGAAACATAAATGATTCTGTCTGTGAATTTTTATTTTAGGGATTCAAAGAAATCATGATTAGTAGTAAGAAAAACAAACCCATTCCTCTCAACTACAGATGACAGAAGTACACACTGGTGCTAAGCACCATTTCTACTTAGGGCTTGTCTTTTCTTTTCCATTTTAGAGATGATCAAAATTACCCCCATCCCTCTCTCTTCTTTAGCCCTGTTTTAGTCCCTTTAATAGAATTTGAGTTGTCTTTGATAAAAGGATAAACTAAAAATACTCAAATCATTTTAGAATTAAGAGTGTAGAGAGCCAAGTATGTGATACTGGAGGTTACCTGAGATCACAACATCTCTACTTGCGGGTGTCATTATGAAAGTTAAGGAACATTATAGGAATATGATGTATTACATACATGAAAGATAAGGCAATCATGCTAGAACTGAGTACAGAAAGCTCTTCTTAGTATTAAAAGACTCAAAGGAGTTTAAAACACTTCAGATACACACTTCTCTTGCTATGTGGAAAGTTTCATCCTAACCTAAGATTGCTGGATCATCTCCAAGTTCCAGTTCAAATCTGAGAGGCTTTGAATCCAAGGAACTTCCCAAATAAAGATTCAGAAACTACATTACCTTTAATTGTTGCTGCAATTCACTATTCAGTCTGGCCAAAACTGTGTTGGTTTCCTTATTGCGTCTAATTGATGCCTGAATAGCTTTCTTATCCTTCCCAACAGACCTGAGGAGATAAAGAGAGCAAAAAATCTCCTCTTCATTTCTTATCTTTAAATTTTCTCTGTTCTTGGCTGGTATACCTCTAAACCCAGAACGCAGAGGGAGCATCTCTGCCTTGTCAGCACAGCTCAACCTCACTTGTTCAGTTTTAATGGTCAACCAAAAATATTTAAGCTTCAGAGGCTTAATTGTTATTGTCTTAATGATTATTCTTCTGTAAAATTACCTGAGTTTAAGTGAGTCTAAAGCAGACATCAGCAAACTTTCTGTAAATGGCCAGACAGTAAATATTTTACGCTTTGAGGGCCATACCATTTCTGCTGAATATTCTTGTTTTTTTGTTTCTTTATCTCTTCTATTTTTCAAAAAAAAAGTAAAAGCCCATTCTTAGCTCATGGGCCTTACAAAAAACAGGTCACGGGCTGACTCTGGCCCATGAGCCCTGGTTTGACAATTCCTGGTCTAGAGCAACCATAGTTAAAATCCCAATCTTACTGTGCACTGTAATTTTTAAAAAGTTTGCTGCAGGATTTGCAACAGGGTATTAAAATGGAATTGGGGTTGAACTTAATAGAAGCAAAAAAAAGTGAGAATATTCTACCTACTCATAAATGAGAAAACTCTCGAAGAGGAACAGTTAAGAACCTATACTCAACTACAGGACCATAACTGCTTTCAGTTTGGTATTTTTACTTGCTGTGTTTTTTGTTCCTAGTAATTAAATATGTTTGGGAATGGCTCTGATTACCTAGGAATAGAAGGTTGTGATGCAAGAACAGCAGCTAGGACACCTGTCTTTTGTGTATGTTCATCAACTTCTGGCCTCAATTCATCTTCTGATTTTAATCTTCTTCGAACAGGTTTAGGTGGTGGAGCAAGTGGTGTCGTGCCTTTGCTCTAGAAGACAAGAGTTCCATTTATAATGAGTATTTCTTGAAAGCATTCATGGTTAGTTAG